CATGGGGAAACCCGTCTCTACTAAAAATACAAAAATTAGCCTGGCGTTGTGGTGGGCACCTGTAATCCCAGCTACTTGGGAGGCTTAGGCAGGAGAATCGCTTGAACCTGGGAGGCGGAGGTTGCAGTGAGGCAAGATTGTGCCACTGCACTCCAGCCTGGGCAACAGAACAGACTCTTGAAGAAAAAAAAAAAAAAAGAAAATGTGATCAAAGACAGAATTAAAGTCCATCATGTCAGGGACAGTGGCTCACGCCTCTAACCTCAGCACTCTGGGAGGCTCAGGCGGCGGATCTCCTGAGGTTGGGAGTTTGAGACTAGCCTGACCAACAAGGAGAAATCCCGTCTCTACTGAAAATACAAAATTAGCCAGGCATGGTGGCACATATTGTAATCGTAGCTACTTGGGAGGCTGAGGCAGGAGCATTGCTTGAACCCGGGAGGTAGAGGTTGTGGTGAGCCGAGGCTGTGTCATTGCACTCCAGCCTGGATGACAAGAGCAAAACTCCATCTCAAAAAAAAAAAAAGAACATCACTTTGGTTGGGCACAGTGCGTCATTCCTGTAATCCCAGCACTTTGGGAGGCCAAGGCAGGTGGATCCTTTGAGTTCAGGGTTCGAGACCAGCCTGGGCTACATAGCCAGACCCCATCTCTAAAAAAAAAAAATCTAAAAAAAAAAAAAAAAATGCAGTCTGGGTATGGTGACTCACACCTGTAATCCCAGCACTTTGGAAGGCCAAGGTAGGTGGATCACAAGGTCAAGAGATCAAAACCATCCTGGCCAAAATGGTGAAACCCCATCTCTACTACAAATACAAAAATTAGCCTAGCGTTGTGGTGGGTGCCTGTAATCTCAGCTACTCGAGAATCGCTGGACCCCAGGACTCAGAGGTTGTGGTGAGCCAAGATTATGCCACTGCACTCCAGTGTGGCAAGAGTAAGACTCCATCTCAAAAAAAAAAAAAAAAAAAAAAAAACCAGCTGGGCATGGTGGTGTGTGCCTGTAGTCCCAGCTACCCTAAAGGCTGAGAAGTGAGAGGATCGCTTGAGCCCAGGGGGCAGAGCCTTCCGTGAGCTGAGATCACACCACTGTGCTTCAGCGTGGGCAAGAGAACCGTCTCAAAAAAAAAAAAAAAATTACATTCAGCTGGGTATGGCAGCTCATACCTACAATCCCAGCATTTTGGGAGGCTGAGGCGGGAGGATTACCTGAGCCTAGAAGTTTAAGATCAGCCACAGCAAGACCCCAACTCAACCAAAAAATCCGAGCTCCTCTGGAGGCAGAGGTGGGCAGACTGCTTGAGCCCCGGAGGTTAAGACTGTGTGAGTCCTGATTGAGCTGCTGCATCCCAGCCTGGGAAAGAGTGAGTTTTGTTTCCCAAAACAAAAACCCATCACATTCATTCCTTTTTTCGAAGTATCATAGTTTTTTTTGCTTGTTTTTTGAGACAGTCTGGCTCTGTTGCCCAGACTAGAGGGCAGTGGTGTGGTCTTGGCTCATTGAAACCGCTACCTTTCAGGTTCAAGCAATTCTCCCCCACCTCAGCCTCCAGAGAAGCTGAGATAACAGGTGCTAATTTGTATTTTGTTGGCAGGGGATGGAGTCTTGCTGTTCCCTAGGCTGGAGTACAATGGCGTGATCTTGGCTGACTGCAACCTTTGCCTCCTGGGTTCAAGTGATTCTCTTGCCTCAGCTTCCCGAGAAGCTGGGATTACAGGTGCCTGCCAACACCCCCAGCAAATGTTTGTATACAGGGTTTCACCATGCTGGCCAGGCTGGTCTCGAATTCCCAACCTCAGGCAATCCACCTGCCTAGGCCTCCCCAAAGGCTGGGATTTCAGGCGTGAGCCACCATGGCTGGCCTAAGTATCATCGTTTTTATTTTTGAATGGCCAAAAGTGGCACTTATTAAATCTCAACAGAGAAAATATAAAAAAGATTCATCCTGCTGTTCCAAATTCTAGTTGCCAGCCCATTAAGTTGGTGTTTTCTTTCCACCAAGATGAAATTTGCCCCAAGTCACTCCAAACTACAGCTCTCCCGGTTCCTGCTTATGTAAACAAAAACCGACTACCCTTGATCACATGGCAGAACTTGCTGAAGGACAAGCAACAACTAGCTGGTTCAGCTGCAAACTTGATCCCACAGCCTGCCCAAGGGAAATGGGAAACTGGAGCAGTTTTCTTCAAAAGAAAAACCCAAAGTAGAGGCGGCACTGATTCTAATGGGAGAAAAGATGGGACCAAATCATTTAAACAAACCACTTCCTCTTCCATTTTTTGACGATGGTATCTAGCTTTCTCCTTTTTTCCTTGGTATATTCCAAGGCTCCTAAAAGGATGCAATCCCAGGCTCAGGACAACTCGTTTTTTGACACACTCTCATATTGTCGCCCAGGCTGCAGTGCAGTGGTGTGATTTCAGTTCACTGCATCCTCCACTTCCCGGGTTTAAGCAATTCTTCTGCCTCAGCCTCCTGAGTGGCTGGGATGACAGACGCATGTCACTATGACTGCTAGTTCTGTATCTGTAGTAGACAGGGTTTCATCACGTTGCTCAGGCTGGTCTTGACCTCCTGACCTCAGGTGACCTGCCCACCTCGATCTCCCAAAGTGCCGGGATTACAGGCATGAGCCACTACGCCCGGCTTGCTGTTTTTGAGCTTCACTTCTAGATAGCTGTTTTTTCCCCTCTACCTTCTCTCCCATTTCAATGTCTTCAGGACATGGGTCAACAGCACTAAGAATTCTTGGCCTCCCCTGTCAAACTCAGCAGGTTTAACGGTTTTCACATTCTTCTCTACTGCTCCCCTCTCATCTTTTCATACCTGCAGGAGGAACAGAATTTAAACTGGAAGTCAAGGTCATAAAATATGACAGTTGGTATGAATACTGCAGACCACACCACTCAATGTGAGTTTTGGTGTTTACTTCAGACAGGGCTGCAGTGCAGTGGCACAATCTCACTGCAACCTCAGCATCCCAAGTAGCTGGGATTACAGGCATATGCCAATCCACCCAGCTAATTTTTTGTACTTTTAGTAGAAACGGGGTCTCACCACACTAGCCAGGCTAGTCTCAAACTCCTAACCTCAGGTGATGCACCCGCCTGGGCCTCCCAAAGTGCTGAGATTACAGGTGTGAGCCACCATGCCTGGCAAGAGCTAAATCTTAGTAGAGACAGGGTTTCAACATGTTGGCCAGGCCGGTTTCCAACTCCTGACCTCAAGTGATTCGCCTGCCTTTGCCTCCCAAGTGATAGCATGACAGGTGTGAGCCACCTCTCACCTGGCTTTCAGACCTTTATATAATAATTCTTATTCCCCCTGGAATCATAATTTTATGACTCATGGACTCTCAAAAATATCACCAAGGGCCAGGAGCAGTGGCTCACGCCTGAAATCCAGCACTTTGGGAGGCAGAGGTGGGTGGATCACCTGAGGTCAGAAGTTAAGAGACCAGCCTGGTCAATATGGCGAAACCCCATCTCTAATAAAAATACAAAAATTAGCCCTGGTGGCACATCGCAGTAATCCCAGCTCTGAGGAGGCTGGGGCAGGAGAATCTCTTAAACCCAGGAGAGAGGCTGCAGTGACTTGAGATGGCACCATTGCACTCTAGTCTAGGGAACAAGAAAAAACTCCAAAAAAAAAAAAATCACCAGTGAGGCCAGGCGCAGTGGTTCACACCTGTAATCCCAGCGCTTTGGGAGGCTGAGGCAGGCCAATCATCTGAGGTCAGGAGCTCAAGACCAGCCTGGCCAAAAGGGAGAAGCCCCATCTTTACTAAAAATATAAAAATTAGCTGGGCATGATGCAGGTGCCTGTAGTCTCTTAGTGACAGAACAAGACTCTGTCTTAAAAAAAAAAAACGAAATATGGCCGGTGCTGTGGCTCACACCTGTAATCCCAGAACTCTGGAAGGCCGAGGCAGGCGGATCACCTGAGGTCAGGAGTTTGAGACCAGCCTGACCAACATGGAGAAACTGATCTCTACTAAAAGTACAAAATTAGCTGGGTGTGGTGGCACATGCCTGTAATCCCAGCTACTCGGGAGGCTAGCTAGGGCAGGAGAATCACTTGAACCTGGGAGGTGAAGGCTGTGGTGAGCCTAGATCGTGCCATTGCACTCCAGCCTGGACAAGAGCAAAACTCCATCTCAAAAACAATACACACACACACACACACACACAAATACAGATATAGATTCAAAATCACCATTGATTCATCCTTTTTTTTTTTTTAAGACGGAGTTTCGCTCGTTACCCAGGCTGGAGTGCAATGGTACGGTATTGGCTCACCTCAACCTCGACATCCTGGGTTCAGGCAGTTCTCCTGCCTGAACCTCCTGAGTAGCTGGGATTATAGGCACTCACCACCAAGCCCAACTAATTTTTTGTATTTTTAGTAGAGACGGGGTTTCACCATGTTGATCAGGATGGTCTCAATCTCTTGACCTGGTGATCCACCCGCCTCGGCCTCCCAAAGTGCTGGGATTACAGGCTTAAGCCACCTCGCCCTGCCAATTAATCCCATTTTTAATAAGCATCCACAGAGCTTGTATAACTTTATCTATATGGCTGTAGGCTGCTGAAGGCACACACCGCCTATTCCCTAAGCATAAAGATTTAGCTCTTGCCCCATGCAGTGGCTCATGCCTGTAACCCCAGCACTTTAGGAGGTCAAGGCGGGTGTATCAACAGAGGTAAGAAATTTGAGTCCAGCCTGGCCAGCACGGTGAAGCTTCGTTTCTACTAAAAATACAAAAAATGAGCTGGGCGTGGTGGCAGGTGCCTGTAATCCCAGCCACTTGGGAGGCTGAGGGAGGAGACTTGCTTGAACCCGGGAGGCTAAAGCTGCAGTCAGTCGAGGTCATGTCACTGCACTCCGCTTGGGCAGCAGAAGCAAAACTCCATCTCAAAACAACAGCAACAACAAGATTTAGCTCTTCTGTGAAAAATATTCAAAGATTACTTTTTCCAAAAGATCACCAAGCCAAACATTTGGCCATATTTTTATTTACTACATATACTATAAACATATACAATACATGCTACAAAAAAAAATTTTTTTTTAAAATTTAACTGTCAAGAAAGTGTATAGTGTTATAATACAATGGCACATGTTTATACTTTATTTCAAATTGGTTTGCTTATCACCTATTTCAAACCGTTAATAGTGAAATGTTACTTGTGGATAATTAAAAATTATCTATTTGCATTATTAACAATAAACAATTCCAACAAATTAATAAGAATTAACCATGTCAAATATTAGTATTCAAAAAACGGGATTTGCAGAAATGATTATATAAAATATAGCAGCCAATTTCGGTTTACTTTGCCAGTAGGATTTCAGCATTTGCTCTTTTTTTGGAAGACATATGTAAGACATCCTTTGATTTCTTGAGGTGCAGGAACTGCCACATGCAGCCCAATCGAACCCAGCAGTTCATCAGGGGCTCTGGACCACGCCCACTGAGGGGCCTCAGGACGTGAGTGGCGCTGCATGCTCCGCTGAGATTATGTATGATGAAAAGAGACACGACAAGCCAAGACCAAAGTGGAAGGAAAAGAAAATACAAACATTCAAATCAGTTGTGACGAGGCTTTTCTACAAATATTTTAGATGGCATACTTTCAGGAAAACAAGATTTAGGTGTATCTCGATTTTACAGTATCTATGCTCTAACTGGAAAGTTAACAAAGCAGTCAGATGGATGACATCTAGTATCAGGGATTTGTTCACTCAACATTACTGAGCACCCACTGTGTGCAGAGCACTGTGCTAATGTCTTTATCAAGCATTACCTTAGTGTGAGGTAAAAATATATTAAATTAGTGTCAACGCATCAGTCTGCTTGTGGCCATGTGGGGATCCTGTGCCACGAAACCAGCTTCTCAGTCTCCTCATTCATTCAGGCACGTGCATGCTGACTGTGTGTCAGGCAATGCGCCAGTCCCTGGGATACCATGATTTGTTGAATGTTCAAAGAATGCTAATTTATCATATTCACCTATGCAGAACAATTAGAAAGGTAGATTCTCCTTCCAAAATGAGGTCCAAAGGTGTTTCTATTGTCATACCATACCATAGACCAGTAAGTGCCTTTACGGACTGAGAACTCACTTGGAAGTTTCATGCCGTGGTCTAAATTGCCTAGATCATTTTTGGTCTCATCTGTCTATTTTTTGGAGCACCTGACCCCATATAAATCATTCCATACTTAAATGGGTTTGTAAACAAAACCTGAACATGAACAGAAAGAACCAGAAATGAAGGCAGTTTATAATGTAATGTACTTCAATAGCATCACTCTGCCCATAAGACGTGAGGGATACGTAAGTAACTCACGATTGCTTCTAACACTTTTCAAAGCACTAACCCTACCCCAAACTCATTTAATACTAACTTGACTTTCATACAAGTTGCACAGAATACAGAGGGCAGAATTTGGCCTCAAAACCTTCCACGGACTATTAGAGGTGATTGGTCCTTCCACTCCAAGCAGAACCTAAGAATTCCAAGAGTCTCCTGATAGGATACTGGTACTCGGCAGAAACGGCCCTGTTGGATCCCATTAGTTAAGACTCTGTTGAGCTGCTGTAGAAGGGTGACCTACCACGACCCTTTTGGGAAAGGCAGAGAGCTGGGAGACTGGCTGTCCACTTAGTGAATCCAACACTGCCTTAAAGCTATGCACTGAATAAAGTACTCGGTACATCCTGCTTGTCACCTGGAATGAAAATACAAACTCACCTTAGGAATTAACCTACTTACAGGTTTGGGGGAAAAGAATGACAAGGGCTAAAAGAATCTCAAGAAATAGTATGAAGCACTGACTAAGAAGGAAGACAAATGCTTCTAGTAGTGTTCTTAGAATTCTTAGGGTCTGCAGTGTCACAATGAGTCATACAATGGTCACGTTCCATAAATGAAAGCAGTCCTGCTCCATACTATTCACACGGTGCATGATTACTTCGTGGGAGTAGAAGGGAACAGTCTGTTGCCATTCGACAGTATGGTTCCAGAATGAAAACAGAACCACTGAATAAATCAGGGTAAGCAGTGTGTAACTCTTTCCTGTCCGTCGGTTTTCCACAGGTGATCTGCACTGCCTGAAAGGAGGCAAGACACCTCTCCCTCCTGATACACACAGGCACCGCCACTACCTCCTCAAATCGCCAATTCAGAAGCTAACACACAGCCCTCCAGTTCGTACCCTGAATGTGCTAAGTAAGACTAGGAATGGAGTTGTTCAGTCTAAAAAAGATCACAGGTAACAGAATGCTTATATAAACAAGACTGCTTTTGACATCTGTAAGAAAATTGTATAGATGGCAGTTAGAAAAAAAAAGATTGTTCCCATGTGTCAGCAAAACTGTTGAGCTCTACTCAGCTGAAGTCCTCATCGGGATTCTGTTGATCCAGCAGACGAACATGTGTGAAAGGGAAGTGACCTCGTTTGCCATTGCACTCCCCTTCCCACTGACCACTCACATTAATCTTCGTAACCTTTACCAGCTCACCGACCTGCAGGAGGAGAATAAGGACAGCACTTTATTTCTGGTTAGGAATGCAGCGGACAAACTCCATTCTCTGCTCAGGCATACCCTGCCCATGTGATCACTCTAGGGATGTCACAGAAATGGCCATTTGCTGCCTCCCCAGCCCCAGCCACCAGACTGATTACTTGTGGTTAATGCAGGCAGAAGGAAGAAGTGTTTTTAGCAGTGCAGAAAAACACAGAGAATACAGAAAGTAAAAGAGGATCCCAGATAATGATACTTTTTGATTAAAAAAGAATGATAATGAATGGAAATCCCAAGCATCTCTACATGAGCAATCCTGGTGTCAGTGAGCTCGCTAGTGTTCCCTTTCTTTGTACTCACTGCCCTCAGCATTCCACCTGCCTGCAGGCCCTGTCCCAGGACAAGCAGCCTTTCCCTCTTTGGCATGTGGTAGCAACACAATCCCGCCACCCACTAGCACACACACATCCTGGCCTGTTGCTGCTTGCATAGCATCAGCGATCACGGCAAGCATATATGTTATGTGGTCCTAGAAAATCCTGTGTTCCTATCACTCCTGACCAAAGCAAGCCTTTTCCCGTATGGGCAGGTAGAGGCCAAAACTCCAAATCCAATTAGCTTCCTGAGAGACCCCGACCTAATTCTGCCAGCTCTATTTGACAAGCTACTGCCCGCCCTGCCAGCAATCCCACCCTCAGACAGACCTTGAGGCTCCCTCAATGCCCCTTGCTACCCAAGCATTACCCAATGAGGGGATAAAAAAACAACTATGGTTGGGCGCAGTGGCTCATGACTGCAATCCCAGCACTTGCTGACCTTGACACAGGTGGATGGATTCCCTCAGCTCAGAAGTTTGAGACCAGCCCAAGCAACATGGTGAAACCCGTCTCTACAAAAAATACAAAAATTATCCTTACAAATGGCTAGCTTAAAAATAAATTTTAAAAAATATACTGGGTGTGGTGGTGGCTGCCTATAGTCCCAGCTACTTGGGGGGCTGATGTGAGAGAATTGCTTGAGCCCAGGAGGCAGAGGTTGCAGTGAGCCGAGATTGCGTCACTGCACTCCAGCCTGGACAACAGAGCCAGACCCTGCCTCAAAAAAAACAAAACAAACAAAAAATCCCTATTGTTTTGTCACGTATTTATAAAATGTCTCTTGTTGCAAAATGAAATATGAAGTTCTAACAATCTACGATATACTACGAAACTTAAGAGGTCAACCTGATGAATGAATTCACCATGTGAGATACTAAATACTAAACGGTGAGATAAAGTCTCAGATGTCACTGGACTAAAGAGTTTTTTTTTGAAGGCTGGGCGCGGTGGCTCAAGCCTGTAATCCCAGCACTTTGGGAGGCCGAGGCGGATGGATCACGAGGTCAAGAGATCCAGACCATCCTGGTCAACATGGTGAAACCCTGTCTCTACTAAAAATTACAAAAAATTTGCTGGGCATAGTGGCGCGTGCCTGTAATCCCAGCTACTCAGGAGGCTGAGGCAGGAGAATTGCCTGAACCCAGGAGGCGGAGGTTGCGGTGAGCCGAGATCGCGCCATTGCACTCCAGCCCAGGTAACAAGAGCGAAACTCCATCTCAAAAGAGTTTTTTTTGGTTGTTGTTTTTTTTTTTTTTGAGATGAAATTTTGTTCTTGTTGCCGAGGCTGGAGTGCAATGGCGCGATCTCAGCTAACTGCAACCTCTGCCTCCCGGGTTCAAGCGATTCTCCTGACTCAGCCTCCCGAGTAGCTGGGATTACAGGCGTACACCACCATGCCCGGCTAATTTTGTATTTTTAGTAGAGACGGGTATTCTCCATGTTGGTCAGGCTGGTCTTGAACTCCTGACTTCAGGTGATCTGCCCGCCTCGGCCTCCCAAAGTGCTGGGATTACAAGTAGGTGTGAACCATTGTGCCCACCGTCTAAAGAGTTTTATGATTGGCCGGGCGTGGTGGTTCACACCTGTAATCCAAGCACTTTGGAGGCCAAGGCGGGTGGATCACCTGAGGTTGGGAGTTCAAGACCAGCCTAACATGGTGAAACCCCATCTTTAAAAAAAAAAAAAAAAATTTTATGATTACCCTTTAGGTAACAATATTTGAATTCTGAGCATGCTCTGTTCATTTGGTTTTATTAAACCAACTATTACTTACTGAATTATTATATAGTATAGTAGAGGGCATTCTTTTTTTTGAGACAGAGTTTCACTCTCGTTGCCAAGGCTGGAGTGCAATAGCACAATCTCGGCTCACTGCAATCTCACCTCCTGGGTTCAAGCGATTCTCCTGCCTCAGCCTCCTGAGTAGCCAGGATTATAGGCATGCACCACCATCCCCGGCTTTTTTTTTTTTTTTTTTTTCCGAGACAGAGTCTCGTTCTGCCGCCAGGTGCCAGGCTGGAGTGCAGTGGCACAATCTCCACTGCACTCTGCAACATCTGCCTCCCGGGTTCAAGCAATTCTCTTGCCTCAGCCTCCCAAGCAGCTGGGACTACAGGCGCGTACCACTACGCCCAGCTAATTTTTTTATATTTTAATAGAGATGGGGATTCACTATGTTGGCCAGGATGGTCTTGATCTCTTGACCTCGTGATACGTCCGCCTCGGCCTCCCAAAGTGCTGGGATTACAGGCGTGAGCCACCGCGCCCAGCTATTTTTTTGTATTACTCGTAGATACAGGGTTTCACCATGTTGGCCAGGCTGGTCTCGAACTCCTGACCTCAGGTGATCCACCTGCCTCAGCCTCCCAAAGTGTTGGGATTACAGATGGGAGCCACTGTGCCAAGCCAAGGGGATTTTATATTTTGTAATATAATAGTTTATGTTAAAATACCAAGTACTTTTTAACCTCATAATAATCCTGCAATACAGTAACTATTTTCATTTTACAAATGAAAAGACAGCAGTTTAGAGAAATCACATGATATATGTGAGGTAGCCCAGTTAGTGACGGGGCTGGGAATTTGAGCCCAGCACTACCTGGCTCCAAAGCCCATTTATGCTTTTTTGAGACAGGGTCTCACTTGTCACTCAGGCTGGAGTATAGTGACACCATCACGGCTCACTGCAGCCTGTAACTCTTGGGCTCAACTGATCCTCCCACCCTAGCCTCCCAAGTAGCTGGGACTACAGGCACACGCCACCATGCCCAGCTAATTACAGGCATGAGCATCTGCACCATTTATGCATTTTATATAGTATCAGAAACTTTCAAATTATGCTCCTGGGGCTGCACTGGGTTCTCTAAAAACATCCGCAGACCACAGCCAACCTACGTCCAGGCACAGGCCTCTTCCAGGACCAGTGTGGCCTCACTCACAGACGGACAGTTTGCCTACTAGTCCCTCCGTTGTTTCCTAAATAACTCTCTGAAGATTACAGAGGCCTGGCCGGGCGCGGTGGCTCATGCCTGTAATCCCAGCACGTTGAGGCTGAGGCGGGCAGATCATAAGGTCAGGAAATCGACACCATCCTGATCATGGTGAAAGCCCATCTCTACTAAAATACAAAAAATTAGCCGGGTGTGGTGGCACGCGCCTGTAGTCCCAGCTACTCCAAGAGCTGAGGGACAATTGCCTGAATCTGGGAGACGGAGGTTGCAGTGAGCCGAGATCATGCCACTGTATCACTCCAGCCTGGTGAGAGAGCAAGCCTCCATCTCAAAAAAAAAAAAAAAAAAAAAAAAGGATTACAGAGGCCTAAAGTCATGGTATGGGTCATAGGATGCTGAGAAAAAAGGGACAGAGATAAGCAGATACGATACTGAAGCTGAGAAAAAGCAGCAGCTGCCCGGGCGCAGTGGCTCATGCCTGTAATCCCAGCACTTTGGGAAGCTGAGGTAGGGGGATGGCCAGAGCCCAGGATTTTGAGAGCAGCCCTGGCAATACAGTGAGACCTTGCCTTTACAATAAAACTAAAAATTAGCCAAGCATGCTAGTATGCGCCTATGGGCCCAGTTACTTGGGAGGGTGAGGTAAAAGGTCACCTGAGCCACCTGGGAGGTTGAGGCTGCACTCTAGCCTGGGCAACAAAGACCCTGTCTCAAAAAAGAAAAGCAGCTACATCTGCCTATATTGTGAAGATTAAGGCTGAGCACACGTGTAAAGGAAGGAGAGGAAGGGATGAATGGTGTGCTATTCTTATAAACAGATACAGTGGAAGTATGGATCTTTTGTGGAAGGTGGATCTTTAGAACACAGTCTTAAGTCTACCATAGCAAAATCTGTTTAATTACCTCTGCCTCCTGGGTTTAAGCAATTCCCCTGCCTCAGCCTCCTGAGTAGCTGGGGCTACAGGCATGTACCACCACTCCCAGCTAATTTTGTACTTTAGTAGAGACGGGGAGCCCTGTTGGCCAGGCTGGTATCAAATTATCCTTGTAGGCTGTTATCACCAGGGTTCTGTTCATTCCCAGCAATTTTGTTTGTACTTGTGTTTATGTTTGTTTGGGACAGAGTCCCAACTGTCACCCAGGCTGGAGTGCAGTGGTGCCATCTCGGCTCACTGCAGCCTCTGCCTCCTGGGTTTAAGCAATTCTCCTGCCTCAGCCTCCTGAGTAGCTGGGGCTACAGGCATGTACCACCACTCCCAGCTAATTTTTGTACTTTAGTAGAGACGGGGAGCCCTGTTGGCCAGGCCAGTGTCAAACTCATGACTTTAGGTGATCTACCTGCCTTGGTCTCCCAAAGTGTTGGATTACAGGAGTGAGCCACTGTGCTTGGCTGGCCAGCAATTTTAGAATTCAAAGTTTCTCATATCTGGGCAGGATCCTGTGGCTCACACCTGTAATACCAGCACTCTGAGAGGGCAAGGAGAGAAGATCACTTGGACTCAGGAGTTCAAGACCAGCCTGGGCACCACAGTGAAAACTCATTTGTACAAAAAATAAAAAAATTAGCCGGGCATAGTAGTGTGCGCCTGTGGTCCCAGCTACTGGAGAGGCTAATGTGGGAGGATTGTTTGAGCCTGGGAGGCTGAGATTACAGTGAGCTAAGATTGTGCCACTGCTCTCTAGCCTCGGCAACAGAGCAAGACCGTTTCAAAAAAAAAAAAAAGTTCTGGCATGTACCAGCCTGGCCAGGCTAGGCAACAATAGCAAGACCATGTCTCTTGAAAAACAAAAAAAAATTAGTAAGGCACCGTGCTGTGCACCTGCAGTTCCAGCTGCTCAGGAGACTGTGGCAAGAGCACCACCTGAGCCTGGGAGTTGGAGGTTGCAGGAGCCCAGACTGTGCCACTGCACCCCTACCCTGCATAACAGAGCAAGATTCGGTCTCAAAAGAAAAAAAAAATCTTGCAGTATTGTAAGTGAGACACCAGCTCCTTCAAATTAGACTGTTCCTTAGTGAATTACCTGTACTGCTGACCTGCCAGCTAGCAATTCTCCACCCTCTGCAAACACTCATGTACACACTTCGCACGTGTTACTGGAACTAATACCTCTGTGATACTATTCCCTGGCTATGTTAAGATAAATTACATTAAATGCAGCACTTCTTCCCCCACTTTTAGTATTTATCTGTACTGCCTGTTAAAAACTCATGTCACAGGCCGGGTACGGTGGCTCATGCCTATAATCCCAGCACTTTGAGGCTGAGGCAGGTGGATCACGAGGTCAAGAGATCAAGACCATCCTGGCCAACATGGTGAAACCCCGTCTCTACTAAACATACAAAAATTATCTGGGCGTTTGGCACACGCCTGTAGTCCCAGCTACTCCGGAGGCTGAGGTGGAAGAATCGCTCGAACTCGGGATGCGGAGGTTGCAGTGAGCTGAGACTGCGCCACTGTGCTCCAGCCTGGCGACAGAACAAGACTCCGTCTCAAAAAAATAAACAAACAAACTCATGTCACTTAAAGTGCCCTTCTGCTAGCTGGAGCTGGAATCATACG